AGCTATACAGGGAGTTGACTCACATTAATTTCCTGTGCGTGTGTATTACCTTCTGGTCTACCAGACCTTTAAAGAAGCGCTAATATCAATACTCCTCAAAGTTTTCCACAAAATGCAAAGGGAAGGAACACTGCCAAACTCATTCTATGAACCCATATTACACTCATCCCAAAACAGGACAAGGACACAACAACAAAAAAAAAAAAACAGAGAGAATTACAGGCCACCCTCTTTAATGAACATAGATGGAAAAATCCTCAATAAAATATTGGCAAACTGAATTCAACAACACATCAAAAAGACCACATGCCATGATCAAGTTGGTTTCATCCCAGGAATCCAGGATGGTTCAACATACACAAATCATTAAATGTAATACAGCATATTAATAGAAGCAAAGACAAAAATTACATGATCATCTCAACAGATGCAGAAAAAGCCTTCAACAAATTCAACTTCCTTTCATGATAAAAGCTCTGATGAATCTAGGAATAGATGAAGTGTACCTCAACATAATAACAACTATAGATGGCAAGACTACAGCCAACAACATACTAAATGGGGGAAAACTGAAACCATTTCCTCTAAAGTTAGGAATAAGACAAGGGTGTCCACTTTCTCCACTCATAGTCAACATAGTCTTGGAATTCCTGGTCAGAGCAATAAGACAGGAAGAAGAAATGAAAGGAATACAAATAGGAAAGGAAGAAGTCAAACTATCCCTATTTGCAGACAACATGATCTCATACCTAAAATACTGGGAAAACTCCACCAAAAAATTCCTAGAAATCATAAACACCTCCAGCAAAGTAGCAAGATACAAAATCAATTTACAAAAATCAGTAGCCTTTCTATATACCAACAATGAACAGACTGAGAAAGAATATAGGAAAACAATTCCATTTACAATAGCCTCAACAAAAAAAAAAAAAACCTAGGAATAAACTTAACAAAGGAAGTAAAAGACCTCTACAATGAAAACTATAAACTTTTGAAAAAGAAATCAGAGAAGATTACAGAAGATGGAAAGACCTCCCATGATCATGGATTGTCAGAATAAATATTGTGAAAATGACTATATTACCAAAAGCAATCTTAATCTACATGTTCAATGCAATCCTCATTAAAATTCAATGATATTCATTACAGAGATTGAAAAGTCAAGCCTAAAGTTCATTTGGAAGCACAAAAGACTGTAAATAGCCAAGGTAATACTGACCAAAAAGAGCAACTCTGGAGGTATCCCAATACCCAACTTCAAGCTATACTATAGAGCCATGTGATAAAAACAGGACAGTACTGACATAAAAATAGACAGGAAGACCAGTGAAATAGAATAGGAGACCCAGATGCACTCATCTGATTTTGACAAAGGTGCCCAAACAAATGTTGCTGGAAAAACTGGATATCTGCATGCAAAAAACAGAAACTAGATCCATGTCTTTTACCCTGTGTAAGTATCAACTCAATGAAGCTAGTGTAGGAAAGAGTGTATTCCAGGAATACACTGGAATTAGTAGGCATGGGCAATGACTTCCTAAATAGAACTCAAATGGCTCAGCAACTAAGAGGAAGGATTGATAAATGGGACTACATGAAATTAAAAAGCTCCTGCATAACAAAAGAAATAGTCACCAGGCTGAAGAGACAGGCCACCAAATGGCAGAAAATCTTTGCCATCTATACATCTGACTAGGGACTAATAACCAGAATATACAGAGAGCTCAAAAAACTAAACTCCCCAAAAAAATCAATGACCCAATGAAGAAATGGGCCAATGAACTGAACAGAGTTTTTTCAAAGAAAGAAGGCCAAATGGCAAAAAAAACATATGAACAAATGCTCAACATCCCTGGCCATAAAGGAAATACAAATCAACACCATGTTAAGATTCTACCTCACTCCTGTTAGAATGGCAATCATCAAGAACACAAACAACAACAAATGTCAAATGAGGATGAGATGAAAAAGAAACCCTCATACTCTGTTGGTGGGAAGATAAATTAGTACAACTACTATAGAAAACAATATGGAGGCTCCCCAAAAAACTAAAAATAGAACTACCATATGATCCAGCAATACCACTCCTAGGGATATACCTGAAGGAATGTAAGTCAGGCTACAAGAAAGGCACCTGCACATCCATGTTTATTGCATCACTATTCACAATAGCTGAGTTATAGATTAAGAAAATGTGGTATTTATATACAATGGAATTTTATTCAGCCATAAAGAAAAATAAAGTTTTGTCATTTACAGATAAATGGATGGAACTGGAGAACATCATCTTAAACGAATTTAACCAGGTTCAGAAAGCCAAAGGCCACATGTTTTCTCTCATATATGGAATATAAACCTAATACAAATAACAAGCAATATTATGAAAATCAGATCACACTAAGGGGATATCACATATGAGAGTGGGAGGATAAAAGAAGGAAGTTAAAACGGTGAATATGGTTAATGTTCTTCCTATACAAGAATGAATACAGAATTTTTAAACCTGTTGAAACCACCATGAGAAAGAGACTAAGGTAGAAAGGAGAAACAGAGGAGATGAATCAATTTGGGTCATAATGCATACATACATGGAAATGTCACAAGAAAACTCCCTGTATAGCTATCTTAAACAAACAAAAAAATGTCGTTTTTTATTTTACAAAAACAGAGAACAAGAGGGCAGAACTGGACCTGTCTGGAGGATTGGTACCAGTGGGAGGGGTGAGGCTGCAGGGAGAGGCTGTAGCAGGTTGAATATGGTGCAAATATTATGTACACATACATTAAATGGAAAAATGAGACCTGTTTAAACTATTCCAGGACTTGGGAGAGGGGGATAAAGGAGAATGAGTGACAAGATGAATTGAACTATGAGATATTATAAAAACTTTTGTAAATGTCACAATGTATCCCCAGTACAACAGTAATATAAAAAAATGGAAGGAAGTAAAGAGCCCTCACACCTGCTTTGGTGTGAATCTAATCAGGACTGTCTTTCAGGATGTGCGGTGGATTGTTTGGGGCTGTGGTGTCTCCAGCTGCTGCTCACTGAGTATCTGATTTCACCTTTAATTTTTCAGGTTCTGGGCATGCCTGTGATCAATAAGGTATGAGATGACAAATGATAGATAAATAGATAATAGAGATAGAGAGATAGAGATAGAGATGATAGATAACATAAGGTAAGATATGATGGAATAAGATAAGATAAGGTGTGATAGGCAAATCATGCCCCCTTGAAGTATGCTAAGCATAGATGTCCTCTTCATTTGATTCCAGTGTAAAGGACCCCAATATATAACTAAATTAATCCACTTCTGAAACCAGAACTCATTAGCTTAATTTAAAAAAGAACAAGGCACCATATTCTGGCTCCAGGTGGTTTAGAAGTTGAGCTCTAAACACAATAGTGTTTTTCAAACTGTGGTTTGTGACCCACCAATGGACTATGAAATCAAGTTAACAGGTCACAAATATCAAAAAAAAATTGAAGTTAATTTCTCAGTTTCCCTTCAACTTAGAGCCTAGGCTGAGGTAGAGATGGCAAAGGGACAAAGATTCTTGCTCCTACATGTAACAAACCTAGGTCACACGTTGATAATAGACCCAGCTGTAGTGTGTAAGAGCTTGGCTTGCACTGACTCATTTCACTTTAGGACATGGATTTGCAAATGAGTTTCACAAGAAGCATCACTGAGATTGGCATTGCTGCCCAAGACATTGAAGATCAGAGGTTCCAGTTTTCCTACAAGGAGAGGCCGATCAGTTACATGCTGGTGAGTATGCAGAGAGGGAAGTAACCAGGGCCTAAGTATCCCATTTAAAAATCAGTAAAACTCATCAGCGACACATAACAGATTCCTGCCATCTTTCTGACCCAAGGCACCAAAGGGTTCAAGAAGATTGGAGGTACACCTGAGAATTCCTCCGAGCTTTTCTGAAATATTTCACCTCTTTGTTTGTGTTGCAGGATTTGATAAGGGATGAGCCCCTGGATTCCTTAGCTAGCCCTGTTCGATGGAAAGCCTTAATAGCCATCAGATACCTAAGGTAGAATATTCGTTATTCTTATGGAAAAAAGCATTTTATCCCCTTCGTTATTCTGATCTACTGGCTTATCTATCTCTCAGTGTGGACTCCAGTCCACCCTTCAAATATGAACACACTTCATTAATGGTGCTTTCTAAGTATAGCTTTTTCTCCTTCCAAAGAGTTGCCAACCTGGATGAGAGACTGATCGTTTGAGGAATGACAGGGACAAAGGAGGAATTAGATTTATTGATAATATGAGCCCAAAATGTCCTTTTACTGCACAAAAGGACATTTCTCTTCCTAGATGTTGGGCTGCAGGCAAATTTTAATCTTCCAATCAATAACTCGTGAACTTCATCACATTGCATTCCAGTTGGTTAATAGCAATAAATCTGAATAAAATAATTTTAAGCAAATTTTTGTAATCATGTTCCCCACTGTAGTAAAAAAATGAAAATATGCTGCTAAAAATCTAGAAACTGTAGAAAACCTTTTAAAATAACAAATGTCAGCCATAATCTTCCTGTTGACAACATCTTGGCTTGCTTCTTTCAAGACTTTATCTCTAGTCCTTCGTTTTTTATTGGAGTTGAGATCCCATTCTGCCTATGATTTTTCCTGATGCTTTTTCTTACTTCATGTTATATATTTCCCCACTATCACCAATTCTTCATGAACATCATGTTTTTTCATTTTAAATTTTTTGGTTATGTTTAGCTGTGATGAAATATACAAAATAAACATTGTTGTCTTAGTCATTTTAATTGCACAGTTGAATAGTACTAAGTACATTCACATTACTCAGAACATGGTGGGAGCAATCTCCAGAACACTTTCTAGCTTGTAAGACTGAAACTCTGTACCCATTGAACAATACCACCTCATTCTCTCCTCTCTAGGTTCTGGAGACTACCATTCCACCATTCACAAAATCTGTGAATTTGTCTGCTCTGGGTAGCTCATATAAGTGAAATCATGCAGTATTTGTCTTTATGTGACTAATTTATTTCACTTATTATTATGTCCCCAAGATTTATCCATAGAGTAATATATCAGGATTTCATTCCTTTTTAAGGAATGAATAATATTCCATTTTTTGTGCGTGCCACATTTTACTATCCATTCATCCATTGATGAACAGGTGGATTACTTCCACCTTTTAAGTGAGGAATACTGCTCTAAACAGCAGCATTACTTTCAATTCTTTGAGGTATATACCTAGAAGTGGAGGATGTGAGGGTGATCTAGCTGTGACATCTGTCACTCCATTGATCGCCAGGGTTGATTTGGCTGATCTGGCTGGCTAGGCGGATGTCCCCTTCCTCCTTCACCACTCCATGTGCGACGACCATCCCGGATAGAGGAGGACCATTCTTTGGTCAAGGGTATATGAGTAGCTGCGCTCCCCTGCTAGAATCTCCAAACAAGCTCTCAAGGTCCTAGAAGTGGAATTGTTGAATCATATAGTAATTCTAATTTTAATATTTTGAGGAACTATAATATTTTTCCATGGCATTGTCACCATTTTCTATTCTCACCAACATGGCACAAGAATTCAGATTTCTCTACTACTTCTTTAAGCACGAAGTCCTATGTTCAAATCCCAGTGCTGCCAAAAAAAAAAGTTAATTCATTACATCTTCAATCTTGTTATTTTCTGGTATTTTGGGTAGCAGCCATCCTAATGGGTAAGAGTTAGAATTGTTTAGGTTTGCATTTCCCTGATGATTAGTGATATTTAAGCATCATTTCATGCTTTTGTTGGCCATTTGTATATCTTCTTTAGAGAAATGTCTGTTAGAGACCTGCCCTTTGCCCAGTTTTAAATAAGTCATTTGTTTTATTGTTGACTTGTAGGAGTTCTTCACATACTATGTAAATTAACCACTTATCAGACATATGGTTTGCAAATATTTTGCCCATTCCATAAGTTGACTTTTCACTCTGTGTCCACTGGTGCACACAAGTTTTTTACAGGTGATATAGTCCCATTTGTCTCTTTTTGCTTTTATTGTTTGTGCTTTCGGTGTTTCTAGAAATCTCAAATAAATCTTGAAGGTGAATTAATAATAAGCTAGGTGAGACTCTAGAAAAATATTGTACAATGCAAGTTACATATATCATTTAAAGTCATCCAGTAAAAAAAATTTTTTTAATGTCTAGGAAATAAAGATAAGAAGAATCTAAATAGAGCTTTCCCAGTTAAGCTGAACCTTACTCTTCTCTCTGAGAAACTTTTTAAATATTGTCCTAACAGCATCATCTTTAATTTCTTTGCTAATTTGGTAGCTTTCAAGTGGTATTGCAGTGTCTAAATTTACAGTTTATTTAATAATAAATAGAATTTTTCATCTTTATTGAACCTTTGCATTTTCCCAGGTCACATCAAGTTTTATTCCGATCTTCATGATGTTTATAAGTGTGTGAAAGAAATAAGGAAGACAATTAGTACATTATTTATTAATTGCTACATTTATTAGAACCTATGCTACATGTGGCAATACATAGGAGGCAAGAGGATAGATGACAATGATTTAAAATAAGAAACCTACTTGGAGGCAGATGGGGGGTAGAAAGGGGAGGTGGCCCAAAAAATGTATACATATGTAAGTACATGTAAAAATGATAAAATAAAATTTAAAAACAAACAAAAAAACCCACTGCCCCAAATTTAGAATCTAGTTGAAGAGAATCAGCCACCACACACACACACACACACACACACACACACACACACACGATGGAGAAAACAAGTAGTTAATGTTGTCACAGATCATATACTTAAGTGTTAAATAATGCAAAGTGAATGACAATTGTGCATACCTCTAATAAATTAGGATTCAGGCATATCGACTATGTTCACCAATGCCATCTGATTCTATGTTCCTAATCTCTCCCTACACTTGTTACTACCTCCCTCAACATCCTGACATTTCAGAAAATGTGACACATTTTTCACATGTTCAGATTTGATGGACAGATCTTTGGTACTCTATTGGGTAGGTTCTGTTTGTAATCCCAATATCCATTCCTCCACGTGGTTCTCATTTCAGTAAACTGAAACCTCCGCTCTCATTAAATGACCATCTTAATATTCTTGAAGAGAATATTCGGCGGCTCCTGCCCCTTCCACCTTTGGAAACACTCAAAAGTGAGGGTGAGACGGAAAAGGACAACGAGCACATTAACGTATGTGTAGTGAGGGCTAAGTAGACTGAAAAGTTTTAAGACTTTGTGAGACAGTGAGACCTGATTCCCTGCAGCCTGAGACTCACACACTCACATCTGATTTCAGTTTCTCTATGAACGATCCATGGATGCGCTAGGAAAACTTATGAGAACTATGATGTGGGATAATGTGGATGCAGAGGACTGTGAAGAAATGTTTAATGTAAGGCCACCACTCACACTGATTCCCCTAGACCCTAATCTGTCTGCCAGTGTGCCATACCAACTCTACCTTCTTGAGAGGAAGACATCCAGCCTGACTCACTGACCCACTAACCCATCATGTAGTGCCAATCCTCTTAAAAGCTATTTATGAGGAAATGGACATCCTATTACAGAAAATGGAGAGGGAGAGAGAGAGAGAGAGAGAGAGAGACTAAGGGAGGGACAGGGAATGAGAATAAATGAACATAAAGAATACTAGGCAAAGAAATTTTATTCCTTAACCAACAGCTTCTCCGAATGTGGCTTGTTTCACAAAAACAATGGGAAAGAGAAAGAGCCTTCCAGATCACTGCAAAAGTGCTGACAAATGATATTGAGGTGAGTTATTCCCTTGAAATAAACAAATGTCATTGCTTATGAAACACAAGGACTTCTGAGGCCTCTTAGATCCAAACTCCTGCCTAGTGGATCTCAGGTTTCAGATGGAAGGCTTTCCAGAGGACCACCTGAGTGGTGTCTCACACTCCTGTCATGCTAGAATTAGGCTCTTGGGCTTCTTTGGATGCTTGCTTGCTTACTCAGTTTTCCACTGCTCTTAAGGGATCAGGAACCTTTAGGGGAAGTTTGTGATTCAATTTCATTCTACGGGCCTTCAGAAAAAAATTAAGGGACTTGAGATCCAATATGGGAAATACCCTGGGATGGCCATCATCAAGCCTTCTCAACACATGGGTGCCTCCTTTGTCCTGCAGGCACCACAGAACTTCAAAATTGGATCACTCCTTGGGCTCCTGGCTCCTCACTCCTGTGACACCTTGCCCACCATTCGTCAGGCTGCTATTAGCTCAACTATTGGTCTGTTCTGTGTAAAAGGTGAGGGAAAAACCAGGAACCCAAAAATGAAAGGAAATACCTATTTTCTTTGAAATTTCTATTAGCATAAATTAATTACACACAAGAATTTCATTGTGATATTTATAAACATGCATAAGTGTACTTTGATCAAATTCACTCTACCTATATTACTCTTTCTTAATCTCCTTTCTTCCTCCCTCCTTTTTAGTAGTTTTTAGTGAGTTTCGTTATGCTATTTTCATATAATATATATGAAATCACATTAACCCCATCACCCTGTCCTGAAATGAGATACCTATTTCCTTTTTTTCTCAGTTTTCCTCCTTGTGCATCTGTCTCTCCCCCTTCCTCTCCTCCTCTCTCTGCTCCCCAGGTGTCTCCAGTTCTCCATCTCTCAGTTCTGATACCTTAATTATATCTCAGAATTTGTCACTTGGATCTGCGGTTTGTCATTTTTTTCCCCAGTGGTTCTGTTTTCCTGTTTTTTTAAAAAAGAATGACACTGAAGCATTATAAAAATCCATTAAAGTAGGTAAAATGTTTTGAAAATCTTCCTCATAAATCACTGAGTAATTGAGCATATTGGGAATGCTTCCTCTAACACATTATTTTCTTCAGGAGAAAATCGCACTATTATTATTGTGCTAAGTAACTTTCAAAGTTCTCTTTGAGAGAACTTTGTGGAGGGTTTTTTTGTTTTTGTTTTTGTTTTTCCAGCTTACAGATCAGGAACTTCCCTTGCTTTACAAGGATATGTGAATAAATGTCAATATCAGAGAAGATAAGGAATTTCAAAACTTCTCTGACTAAAACCAATAATCAGGGCCTTATGTCCAGGTCAAATCAGTAGACATTTTTCCAGTGATAACTGTACACTGTGTGTGCACAGTTCTGTAAAGACAAGGGGTAGCCAGGAACACCAGGTCTAGGTTTTATGCCATTTCATGCCAATGTTCATTGTCATTCTTTTATACTTTCAAACTATTTGCTGAGTGTCTTTCTATATGTCAGGCACTATTCTGATTCTGGAAACACTAAGATATTATAATTCTAAGACTTACATAAGAAAAGTATGTTAAATTCAGAAGGTGGGATTTAGATGGGAATGGGTGAGTTTATTCAATGAAGAAGGAAGAAGGAGAAGAGATATAACAGAACAAGAAGAAGAACAAGGACAAAAAGAGGAAGAAAACTATCGAGCAGAGTCAGTCAATGGGAAAGTCCCTTGAGATGTGGGAAAAGGATTCATTAGAAATATATGGTTTTACTGAGCCAAGAAAAAAAGAATTAAGGAAGTGACAATTAAGGATCTATTCCAGTAAAAGTAGAAATGTGCCAGAAAGGGAAGAAAGGAATTTGAATTCTATTATGTTCTACATATTCTCCCTGTAAGCTACTTTATTTTCCTGAACTACACAAAACTCAGGTCCTCAGATGCTCTTTGTTAACAAAAAAATCTCATGCTTCATGGTTAGCATTAACTCATTTTCCTTGGTTGATCAAAAAAGCATAGTAAAATTAGAGAAAACAAGAATTGCTAAATATCTACTAGGTGCAAGTAACTGGTTTTCATAGATTAAATATCCATGAATGTTGCTGAATCAGTTTTGAGGTGAGTGTTCAGAAATCAAGAAATTTACCACCACAATTAACTTTGAAGTCCTACATCAATTAGACATTTTCTAAACTGCTGAGCGTACTGCAGAAGAAACTTAGTCCACTGCATAGGTAACAATATTGGAGGCGAGGTGTAGATTAGGTCTCCAATTGTTTTTACTTTATGTAAACTCTGGTTTTGTTTTGAAGTGGTGAATCTGTTATTGCTGAGTTATACCCAAGCCAGTGGTGAGAAATGACACATCAACCCTATCACTACCCAGTCCTGCCAGAACATAGAGCATAATTCAACTGAAAGACATCAGGTAATTAAAACAGTCAACCAAAAAGTTGACCTCAGATAAGCAAACCTCAATGTAGAATAACAAAAAAAATGAAAAAAGAAGGCAACATGATACTTCAAAAAATTAACAATCACTGAGTAAGTGATTTGAATGATAATGAAGTGGATAAAATCTCAAACAATGAGCTCAAGAGAATGATGATAAGAATGATCAATGAAATTAAAGAGGACATGTATAAATAAACATCTCAATTAGCTCAAATAAAATATAAACAAACTGCTAAGTGAATTTTACAAAGAGATTAAATAAGAAAGACAATGCAAGATACGAAAGAGGAATTCAATAAAGATATTGACATACTGAAAAAAATCAAATTGAAATTCTGGAAATGAGATGCTGTGTAAGTCAAATAAAACATTCCTTGAAAGCCTTTCCAGTAGACTGAATCAAGTTGAAGTAGGAATAGAACATACAAGATCTCCACAACTCCATAGACAAAACCTATAAGTCATAGGCTTAGGAGGAGAAGAGGTGAAATCTGAGGGCAAATGAAATGTATTTAATAAAGTAATAACCAAAAATTTCCTAAATTTTGAGAAAGAGATGGTCATCCAGGTACAAAAAGATTTTAGTGCCCCCAAAAACAGGAAGTTCCCTCTGTCATTACAGTTAGAACATTAAGTACACAAAACAAAAGAATATTGAAAGCTGGGAGAGAAACAGAAAGTTACCTACAAAGGCAAACTCATCAAAATAAAAAGTTTCTCAGGAGAAACTTTAAAAGTAAGGCGAGCATGGAATGATATATTTCAAGCCATGAAAGAAAATAACCATCAACCTAGATTACTGCGCTCAGAAAAACTATCCTTCATAATTGAGGGAGAAATAAAATATTCCATGAGAAACAAAAATTAAAGAAATTTATGACCATTAAACCAGCACTGCACAAGATAATTAAAGGAATCCTACAAAGAGAAGAGGAAGATAAACACAACCAGAAACATACAAGAAACAATAAATCTCACTATATGTAGTTGAACAAATGAGGAGTAGGGAGGAATCAAGCACTACAAAAACAATGAAATGGCAGGAATTACTGCATATCTTTCAATAATAACTCTGAAGATTAGTGGTCTCAATTCTCTAATCAACATGCACAGACTGGCATATTGAATTAGAAAATAATACCTGACAATCTGTTGCCAATAAGAAATGCACCCCATTCACAAAGACAAACAGGTTCAGAGTGAAAAAGATGGAAAAATATTTTCCAAGAAAATGGGGTCAAAAAGCAAGGAGGAGTAACTATACAAATATCTGATAAAGCAGACTTCAATCCAAAAATCTGTCAGAAAAGACAAAGTAGGTTCTTTCATTCTGATAAAGGGAAAGATCCATCAGGAGGTGATAACAATTGTAAACATATGTACACCAAACATTGGTGCACAAATTTCATAAATCAAACACTACACAAAAACAGAAGTAGACCCCAACACAATATTAATGTGTGATATTAATACCTTATTCTCAACAATAAACAGGTCATCCAGACAAAAATCAAATAAGGAAACTTCAGAATTACATGACACTATACATCAAATGCACCTAACAGCCATCTACAGACTATTTCACCCAGCAGCCAAAGAATAGACATTCTTCTCAGCAGCCCATGGAACTTTCTCCAAAATAGATACTGTCTTAAGACCTAATATCTTAAGCCATATATTTTCTAATATCTTAGGTCATAATATCTTAAGATCATATCTTAAGACATAATATATTATTTATATTCTTAGAACAATAAAGCAAGAGGAAAAAGATTTGAAAAGGAAAGGAAGAAGTTAAATTAACTTATTTGCAGATGATATGGTCCTATACTTAAAAGATCTTAAAGACTCCACCAAAAACTCTTAGACCTGATAAACATTTTCATGAAAGTAACAATATAAAAAAAATCAACATGCAAAATAAATAGCTTTTCTGTATGCCAACAATGAACAGGCTGAGAAAGAAATGAGGAAAACATTTGCACTGACAGTAGCCTTGATGCACAGATGACACACTCAGGAATTTCAGGTGCTCAGGGTTCTTGAGCCCTCTCTGAGAATGAAAGCACAGGTGGACTCCAGCAGCAGGGGTCAGAAAGATTTTATTTGTAGAGAAGAGAAAGACTGCATGGTGGGGAACTGCAGGGGGACCTGGAAACTGGTGGTCCCGTGGGTCAGAGTGGGGACTGGGTTTTACAGCCTTTTTTTTGTGTATTGCCTGAGGGTGGAGATGTCTTTCAGATGCAGAGGAGTGTTTCTTGAGAGGAGAAGTGTCTCCTTGACCTCTTGTGGTCCATCCTCAAAGTCCCCCCACCCCAGTGACCGCCGTAACTGCTGTTAGGAATAGGGACAATGAAGTCTGTTCAATAACTGCTTCCTGCTGACAGGGGGTGATGAAGGGGCCCACAGCATTAGGGCTGATCACGAGAGGGATTGTTGAGGGGACCACGATAGTAGGTATTTTCATCTCCATCAGAGGCATTTGTAGTTTATGGATTCTATGTGAGAAGAAACAACTTGACAAGTAAGTTTAAAATGCAAGGCCCAAACACAAGTAAGAGAATAACAGTAACTATAGGCCCCAGAAAGGGTAGGAACCAAGTCCTGGAGGGGAGCCAGGATTTTATTTGATCCCATACTGGTGTAGAAACCTGAGTTTCAAGAGATTTCTCCTGGAGCCACTTAGCCTGTTGGAGAATGTAATCTGCACATTCCTCTACAATGTCTGAAGGGTTTATTATATATGTGTAACAGGACGTATTGGCGATGGCACATACCCCTCCTTGTTTAGCCAAAAGAAAATCTAGAATGGATTAAGAAAATGTGGTATCTATACACAATGGAATTTTATGCAGCCATGAAGAAGAAAAAAATGTTATCATTTGCTGGTAAATGGATGGAATTGGAGAACATCATTCTGAGTGAGGTTAGCCTGGCCCAAAAGACCAAAAATCGTATGTTCTCCCTCATTTGTGGACATTAGATCAAGGGCAAACACAACAATGGGATTGGACTTTGAGCACATGATAAAAGCGAGAGCACACAAGGGAGGGGTGAGGATAGGTAAGAC